TCAGTACTTCGTTCGGTGTATTGCTTACCTTTTTATTTAGTATTTTTTTGCAGCTAAAATAATTCTTTTTACATCCCCAAATTAAATTCATGTTCATCATCTTCATCATTATCATCATCATTTTCAGGTTATGCAACAGGTTTGGCATGAACAGGTTATGACTACGGATTCTTTAGATAGTTGGGTATAAAAGGGTGGTCTGAACTGCATTCCGGCAATTTTAAACATATTCTACAGATAAAAATAGTAAAAAACTTCGTATAGATGTATGTCAAAAAATGCTTAGTTTCGGATATACAGGATGTAGAAGTTTCATTCTTATTCAATTTTATCCAAATAATTTCTGAAGCTTAACGTCCAATATATGGATGAAAATTGATATCTGGGGGTATTTGACATACGAAATTTGATTTTGATGTCAATATGACTCCCTAGCCAGAGGGCACCACCACATATTATTTAACTGGTTTGAAGAGTAGTAACTTTTCGTCCGTATCTGTATAAACTTACTGAGTAAAAAATATACATTTGCGACGTTTTTACGTAAAAAAGGTTTCTTGGTGAAAATCGCTACGAGCAAACTTTACAGCGCTTTCAGATGGAGCGGACCGTCCGCGCGGATATTATTTCAAGATAGCTTATCCGGACGGAGCATGCGCGACCCATGTGAAATTGTTCATATAAGCTTATGGTACTTGCTCGAAGCCGCGGACGCTCCGCTCCATCTGAAAGCGCTGTTAGAGTTCTCAAGATATTTAGAAAGAAAATAGTCGATACATGTCATTATTGACAAAAAATAAACATGTTGTGTAGATAGTTATTTTATTGAGATGATAAATTTGGGATCTTTTTATTTTTTTAAATTAATCAGAAATGATGCTAAACCAGTTTCTGTTAATCTTTTGGCACAAAAACATTTCAAATTTATGATTTTAGCATAATAACTATTTAGTCAACATGTTTAATTTATGTCAATGACGACATGTATATGATAATTTCGATTCCAAATATCTCAAAAACCATTACTAGTATTAATTTTTACCAAGAGACCTTTTTTACATAAAAAAAAAACATCGTAAATGTATATCTTTTTACTCAGTAGTTTTATACAGGTATGGACGAAAGGTTATTAGTCTTTAAACTAGTTAAAAATATGTAGGTGGCGCCCTCTACAAGTAGGAGTCATATTGACATCAAAATCAAATTTCGCATGTCAAAAAACTCCCAGATACCATTTTTCATCTAAATCGCGATGGTACTTCAGAAATTATTTGGAAAAAATCGAATTAAAAATGAAATTTCTACACCCTGTATCTTCGATACTAAGCATTTTAGGACATACATTTATACCAGGGGCGCCGACTTTTATGAAACCTCGTGGGTGCTCATCAAATATGAGTAAATGTAACAAATTTCCAGATTGTTTGGTTTGGTTTGGTTATTTATTACATTTTTTTACATATGTAACATACATAACAATATTAGAAAAATGCCATATCAATTTGTAATTTTTACAATTTTATTGACTATAATGTGAATTATGCAGAAATAAATTTTTTTAGTACAGATAATTTGTGAAAATATTAATTCTACTCATTACAATCGTGTAAGGGCAGGCATTAAAACAACAGACAGATACTGTAACTGTATTTTATAAAGAGATACAAAATAAATGAAGCTAAAAGTTGTTGAGAAGAGCTACTACAGCTTAAGGTTTTTATATAAACAAATTTATCCGTCAAGACTAAAAATTCTCAAAGATAAACACAATATAATCATACACAACGAACTTTCGCATCACATAGAACATTTCATATACTTGGCCAGCTAAATAGATTGATAGTGAGCTATCGTGGATATGAACACACATTCCTAATGTAGTTTATAATTCGCTTCCAATTTAGAATAATTATAATTAATATACAGGGAGAGTCTTAAATAAGTACAAATATATCGCCTTTGGCTGGACGAGAGGCAAGTGCCTTAAAGTTGCTAAACTGATTAATTTTGATGCTTATGCTCGTGGGTGCTTACTAGCGATGGGAACTATCGAATGAATTAGACTATGGAATGGTTAATGAATGAATGATTTCAACTATCGAATGGTTTTATTCGAATAAAATCATTCATTCATTTGTATACTAAACCATATGTGACAACCTCGCCGTGCGACTAAATGGTTATCGTTGAGCCACGACTATCGAATGCTTTTGATAAATGAAATTTAGTATTCGTTTGATTTTTGTATGCGTCAGTGCATTATTAGTTCTTCCAAATTTTTATAACTTCGCCGTATAAATACTGTGCTATTTTTGCGTTTACTAAAATAGTTAAAATACTAAAATAGTAGTTATTTTTTAATTTTATTTATTGACGATTGTGTGCATGTGCAGGTGGTCAAAATTTTTCCGAAAAGTTGTGTGGTTTTCCGTAGTCCGATCTTTCAATTATTTAATTTTATATGGTATATGGTCTATTTTTTAATGGGAAATTTTGAGAAGTAGCAATTTTTAAGAGAGATGAGATGAACTTAAATTAATTTTAAAAGTACATATTTGTATTTTAGATGTTTTAATAATATGAATTAGTTGAACTTAATAATCATATTTAAGTAATGTGGTTAAGTAAATGGTTATCGAACTCAAACTATGGGGTGAGAAAATTAAAATGAAAGTTTTACACGTCCCAATTTAAAAAAAAAGTTAACGATGTTTGTATTTTGTTTATGCTAATTCTCTTACATGTAGTTTTTTGCGAAGAAATATTTCATTTATTTGTTAAAGTAAATGCCAGTAAAAGTAAATATAATTTTTAAATAGTAATATAAAGCACCTAATATAAATAATTTTGATTTCTATTTTTTATTTAATTTTGAATTTTTTATTTATATTTTCCTTCCATTACACTGCATGCTTAGAAAATTAATAAATGTTTATATTTCATGATTTTAAAATTTGTTGTTAATATAACAAATTAGTTCTGTAATTATTATTATTTAATAAACCAACGTTGCCACACACAAAAAATTTAGAGACTATATTATTTTTAAATAGGATCTAATATAAATAATTTTGACATCAAATTTGTTGTTTATATTTTGCTACTGCTTAAAAAAAATATTTATATTAAATGATTTTTAAATTTTGTTGTTAATAGGTATAACAAATTATTACTGTTATTATTATTTATTAAACCAGTCTTTGCTTAAAAACATTAAAAATCATTTTCCTACATCCAAAATAACAAGTATTATTGCAGTGTAACAACAGAATATTAATAAAAAATGCAGAATATATAGACATACTAACCCTAACTAACTAAAGCCAAACAATAATATTCTTTGCTAATATCAACTAATACCAAAATATGGCAACAGCGCCCTTCATAATGTATTTTCTGTGTAAATACTAGCACCTCAATAAAAAAACTAATGTGTCCTTATCTATATCTGACTCCGCAAAAAATCAAAGATGCCGGCTTCTTTCATAGCATTTCCACCGACCGCTGTCGGGTTTCTCGGAAAGAAACCTACGTCGCCGGGCGACAACTAAAATTCAGTTAATATTTTATTATAATCGATCCTGACGAATAAATGAATTTCATAAATGAATGAATTTTATAAATGAATGGTTTTGCTGCCGAATTACTAGAATACAATATTTCAAGGCAGATGACGGATCTATTCGATAATTTTTATTCGAATAGTTTTCAACGAATGTTTTCCTACTAACTATCGAATTATTCGAATGAATTGCAACTATCGAATGTTTCGATAGTATTCATTCGATAGTTCCCACTACTAGTGCTTACCACGCAGAGGCCACCCACGCAGTCGGTGCCCCTGATTTATACGAACTTTTTTGCTTATTTTTATGTGCCGATGTTTCTGGAATAAAGTTCGGACCACCCTGTAATACCTAAAGTGTCAAAACGAATCAAAATATCAGGAAATAAATAAATAAATGTGGCAACTTGATATTTTTTTTTCACATTTTGCCACATGAATCGGCAGCGGGAGATTTTAGATTTTAGTTAGCACTTCCAGTTGGTCCGCCCGGCGCGGCGTCGAATATGTTCATGGTTGGTAACAATGAATTTAATAATCGCGCCCTCGATGAAGTAACTAAACGTTTATTTGGTATCGCCTTTATGTAGTTAGTCTATATTTAATACTATGTCTCTTATAAATCTCGATAATAATTACAATATCATTAATTAATTTTATAAAAATTAAATCAAAAGTACAATTACCTGTTTTCAGCTGTCAAACAACCTATAAAAGTTATGTAATTCATTTCCATAATAATTATTTTCACTTGCGCATTTTTTTATTTGTTAAATGTCAATCGGAAGTCAGTAACAAAGTGATGAATAGATCGACGCCACAGATAAAATCGTAAAAGCAACGTTCTGGTATTTTGTTCGCCGTAATTTTATTAAAGATTTCTTTTTTAATTAAAACTTTTAAATGTTATGCTAATTATAACATAGCCGGAGCGCTCTAGCCGTCTCTTTTCAGCTTAATTAAAACATGTGTAAAGATAACTATCGTGCCTCTTTGAAAAGAATGAAAAGTGTGTGTTAGTTTGATTATTTTAGAATGTCAGAAGTTTATTTTATGAACAAAGAATTACGTAAGGAAAAATATTAGAATCTATAATGCAAAGTATATGTTCAAAGAGTCCGGGAAGTTTTCGACATATGACA